AACACTGCAAATGACAAGAACAACTCAAAAGACACTGCAAAACTAGTTAAACTTACAAGGTGGACATGACTATCCGAAGATGCACCGAAGCCTGCTGAGATTTTCAGGAGCTTCACTATCAGTTCAGCTGCAGCATCCTTAGCAAGGATAACAGAGGGAGGGTAGTGACTGTTGCAGTAGTTGATGATGCTTTGGTAAGACGAAATGCTCACAAGCTGCCAAGGAAGGGAGCTGGTCTGTCCAAGAAGATTTATGAGTGGTGATTCCTGAAGATTTAAAGACATCGGTTTAAGCTTCATCTTCTTTGCTGTTCTAAATTAATGTTCTCAGTACTCAATACTGGAAGAAAGCCCAGACTCCAAAATTGGAAGGAGATGAAGCAGAAACCCCAAGAAATAGATGACTACTGGAAGTCTGGCTGAAAAGCAACTCCTCATTCAAGCAGGAAACCAACACATGTATGTCATCTCTAGCATTCACATAAGACTTATTCACTCAGACTGCTGCAGCAGCTCCAACAAGGCACAAAAGTCAGTAAAATTTGACATGTAAACATGTAAAGGCAGCTAGAAAGAAACGGAGACCCTCCAAGGTAAAGTCACTTCAGTATATGCTTAAAAAGGAATTAAAAACTATTAAAAAAATAAAATCTAGGTTCACAGTAGAACCAGGCACAGAAGCTGAGCACCTCAATTTTCCATTCAGTGAATTATCTCCAACCTGGGAGACTCCTCAAGTGCCTGTTCTCATAAATACCATCCTGAACAGTACTAAGGTGTTCACAACCCACACAGGCAGTGCAAGTAGGCAGCTGGAAAAGTCTCCCTGTCTACAAGCAGAAGAGTCTCACTTCAGCTACCATCATCTACCTCTCACGGGTTCATATACATCTGCAATACAAAATTTCTACATGTTACAGAATGAACAAATACTGGGATTGTGCTGATGGTCAACACAACCTAAAGACTATAAAGATCCAGAACTAACCCACATTAGACTACATCAACAAGAATGCCACACTGGTACATCAAGTATGTCTCAAGCTGTCCATGCACTGGAACATAGGGTTGAGGAAGTTTGAGATTTAGGTCAAGGTGTCACAGGAGTGTCCTGAGAAGTAAAAAAACCACACACAACAAAAAAACACAAGTGAAGGCGTGTCAGTTTAAACACATTGCTGGAGGCTAGGAGGGAATTCCTGAGGCTGACTCATACAAGGTATAAACAGGTATCTTTTCAAGCTTGAGAAGCTTCTGATAAGGAAATAACATTCAGGTCAAAGCACGTGAACTCCAGTAATTTTCCTAAATCGGAATACAGAGTTGATCAAAAGCTGCTGGTGACAGCTTGACACAGCATCTGTTAATGCCTTAGAGGAAATGGAGAACTGAAGATGCTGCAAGTGGGAGAAAGCTGGCAGATGGGAAATGGGAATTCTTAAAGATAACCCAGCCCCTCTGGAAGAGTCCTCCAGAAGTAATGGACTGAATCAGCATGTGCTAGATCTACCCACACAGAGCTCTTAGCAACACTATTTGGGGTATTTCACCTGTGCAAAAACCACTTTTGAGTTAATCATTCTGCAAGCAAGAAAGAAGTCACACTCTGTGTCCTTGCTGGCAAACCATTATTCTTCTAAGACAGTCAGGTATGAACTTTTCCAAAAATTACCTCTTCACCTATAAGTTGTTCCTCCTTTGCCAACAGGACCATCATGTACAGCAAACAGACAATCATGTTGTGAGTCTGAGGATGAGGGTTGGGATTCCAGGCATCAGAGAGGACACTGACCCAGTTTATTTCACATAGAACATAACCCAAGAATAAGAAACAACTCTTAGGGCTCCCTCTTTCAATCTAGGAAGGAGAAGGGAAAAAAGACAGGCACATAAAACAGTGTAAGATACAAATACTTTCATACTTTTCAGTTCCTTAGCCAATTATAAATCCACAGCAGCATTTTGGGTCAGTACAGGAGCAGACAGATGCCACTTCTCCATCATTTTGCCCCCCTCCCCGCTCCCCACCAGAAGAGTTCCACATATAACTTTTTAAGTCTGTCAACCAACCAGCACAGAACACCAGGCTACTGCAAATGAGAAAAAAAATCTATTATAAACTGTTAGCTGCATGATTGCATCCCTTTCTCTTCACTATAAGATAAACTAAGAAACTGAGCCTGTTTAGAACTGCATGAAGAACTCACCCCAAACAGATAAGCAGTAAATCCTGGAGCACTTTCACACCTATCTGCAAGTTTACATTGTCTCAGACAACTTGGAAGTGAGAACAACATAGCAATAGGAAAATATATTAACTCTAAATACATACTTATATATTATATTATATATTAATTAAATATGTAATAAATGAGACATTCAGATACAGCAATGACAGATTACAAGGACTGCCAGCTTTACAGCTTCCCACAACGTTGTCTAAGGCTCAACAGCACTTCTTTTCAAAAATCAATCACAAAATGAACAGCTGTGAATGGTACAATAATCTTTAAAAGTTTACTTGCTCGAAGAACTATGCACAGCTCTCCAGTTCTTTTCAAGGGCAACATCGATGATGAATTTAGTTCAACAAATGCCAAGTACTCACTTTAAAGAACTCTTCCATAAGCATCTGGTCTGGATGCATTTCCTTCCATGGAAGCCTTCTGAACTCAGTATGGAAAGTATAGAGAATAAACTCTGGCATTTTTGGGGCTGTGCAACATTCGCAGTAATGCATCAGATGTAACCACAGAGCCCCATGGTGGCTTGGCAACAGCTTGTCTAGATTCAAAGAAAATAGCTGAATTAATAACAGAAAAAATTAATAGAAATCTTGATTACAGAAGGAAGTCCAATTTTGAAAATGAAAAAAGTATGAGAAAGTTACACTAAAAGACATTCAAAGAAAAAAGGCACATTAAGTTTTTAGATTTTTTTTTCTCCCCTCGAAATCAACAAGTGGGGAAGCTTATTATTTCATGCCCTTCCTCAACCTTTTGAGAGTTGCTGGACAATACTCTGAAGTTATAAAATAATCTTTCCATATAGAACTTCATTGCTTTTATGTCGGGTTGTTTTGTTATTTTAAAAAAGATCTTATGTATCTCGGATTTTATAAGACACACAACAATGATATTTTTAATTACTTATTTTTACAAGACAAGTTTGAATCTAGTTAATACCTAAAAGTTGGTAAAAGGTATTGTGAAACTAATTTTTTTCATTCCTATGTCTAACTATGCATTAGGCACAATAAGCAATGTTAAATAGGAGCTCAAAATGATAACTCCTGGAGACTAAACTACACCCAAGACCAGCTGATGAGACACGTGCATTGGTCACTGCGACACGCTACTGCGTATGTTGTATGGGAACGACGTACAGGCCTGGAATGAAGTCATGCACTTCTCATGACAGTTCACTTTGGTTTGCTTTCCTTCACCTTAACTTTGTTGTCTGACAGACAGGCGTTTATCAATCACATTATCTACCCTCGCCAAGGAAAAAAGCTGCCTTTTCAGGACGAAATGAAGACATGCTCCTGGTACCATGCAGTGATCACCTTGGCCAAAAGCATGTAACAAACAAAATCCCCTCATGTCCCACATTCAACTAAAAAGTCATTACTGGTCTGGTAGAACAGCAAGTGCCACTACATTCAAACAGAATGGTCTTCACTCACCTTTAAAGCTCTCGTGCAAAAGCTTGATGCAGTCTGTAAACGAACAAACCACGGTGGACGCCACCGGAGTGTCACTCTCTAGCCAAGGGTAGCAGGGCTGGTTACTTAAAAGGAGAAGTGAAGCAACATAAATTTCAGTGCTGAGCTACCAGAGCGTAAACAGATCACAAACATTTAAACAATTTTAATATTCTAAAGCGTAGTAAATCAATATAGTAGGTACTACACAGGAAATCAATACAGAAGGTATCAGCAGTCCTTTCATTCGAAGGCAACTCTTTAGGACTACCTGTTTCTTCCTTAGAAAAGGTAAATATTTAAGATCACACTAAAGATACACAATACCATTGGGTAAGCAGAGATTGCTTGTTTGATATTTCATAACTGAATTAAAACACCAAAACACAGGAATTTCCAAATGACCGCACATAATATCTGCAGTCAGACTTCTAATTAAATGTTGGAGATGCGCTCACAGCTCAGAAAGCTGTTGGCCTTGGAAGAAAGGAAAATTCAAGTGTGCAACAATACAAAAAACTCTCCAAGTGAACACAGAGATACACAAGACAGATCATCATAGGACTGATTTGATCCAAGGTTTCTTTACATACCACTGGCATTTGGGTTTTATCTGTTCGTTTTTTTTTCCATTTTGTTTTAAACTAAGGAGTTATCAGTATTACAGAGGCTAAAAAAAGGAATCTAAAATTTAAATTTAAGTGTTTCCAGAACTAAGTGCAATCTATTTTTTTTTCCTCTTTGCTTCTTGATCAGAGCTTGGCTGTATTTCTTGTACTTAAAACAATAACTCAATCTAAGTCTTGGAAAATTTGACTTAAGGAACTCATTAATTAGACCATAATTGTTAAGGATATGACAGAAGTCACAGCTATTTAATAGAAGGTCACAATACACTCACAAATTAGAAAAAAAATAAATCAGATAACAATGAAATCCATTCTTACAGGGTTAAAGTTCTTACTTTAGCAAAAATTAATTTAATTTTGAAATGCAAAATATACCTTGCATCTTCCTTATCCAAGACCAGTATCCATGGTTTAAAGAGTCCAGCAATGATTGAATACAAGGACTGTAATGCTAAAAGAAAATGAAACATAGAAGTTGCTTTCCCCCCCCTCAAATCAGCAACAATAAACATATTACAGTTTTCCAAACTTGAATAAAATGTCCTTGCTTATTCCAGCACTAAATTAGTTCTTCCTGGTCAAACAAAATTTTAAAATACAATATGCTTATTAGTAACTGGTTAACAATATGGCTATTTTATCAACAATCACAAGCATTTTGCATTGCTTAGATGTCCGATTAATATCACTTTCACACATCTCAGGCTGTGGAGGTAATGATGATTCATACTTTAAAGCTGCATATACTAAAATAAAAAGTGTTTTGGTGACTTTCTCTAAATGAAAATCACATCATGATGAAATTCAGTAGTCACTCATTTCCAAACCACTGCTCAGTGCCAAAGACTGTATTTTTCTTTGAAGAAAGTACGATCTCAAAGTAATTTTAAAGCAAGACCAAATGTAAACAAGGTTCCTCCAACATGCGCAAAGATAAAGCATAAAGTTCCACATGGCCATTAAGTAGAATCAACATGTCCTGTCTGTATTTTAATATTCTCATCACCACACAAATACAGAGCAAGAGGCTTTTACTGCATATGTAAATGGTCTTTAACAGAGGAAATTAGACAAACTGGGCGCCTCGTCTTAAGTAATCTGCTTTCAAGACACATTACCTGCTAAAATTCTGTTACTGCCAACAGGCTCTTGGGCTAAATTGGCAACTGCTGTGTCAATGAGTTGTTCAGTAAGATACTTTAAAAATTTATTCACTTCGGCTGCATAAGGACTCCATTTTGAGAACAGGCCAAAAGTCCTGAAGTCCACTGAAGCCAGACGAAGTTTGCAGAAAGATGTGGAAAGCCATTCTATTGTCTCTCTAACCTGTAAAAAGAAGGAAACTATTAATCAGCTACAGAAAGACTGCACAGCAGTGTTATTTAAATGTCACTGGTGGGCATCTGTTTCAGCTGCAAAACATAATAAATCAACCAGAAAGGCACCCACCTGTTCTGCAGAGAGGAGAATTTTTGCAGCATCCCGCAATACAGGGCTTTCGGTAGAGCTGCTTTTCTTGAAGCTTCCCTGTTCAGTCACTGATGATCCACATCCCAAAGCTTTAAGTGATGCCTTCCAACAGTCGGGGCTTAAAAGCTGCTCTGAAGAGCCTTAGGTGAAAGAGAAGGAAATGGATTTGTGAAAATCAGGAGAAGGATATTAAGCTCTTCTCAGTAAGAGTCAGAAAAGGTTAATATTAGACCTCTCTACTACATAAAAAAAAATTAGACAAGGCTGGAGTTTGAAAGCCCAAAGTTTAAAGGTGAGAGATATCCCTAATTCTCAAACGCAAGTAATTTAATATTCCCTTTTGGCATCTACACACTCTCATCTTGAAAAGTTTCCCAGGCACTCAGTACACCCCTGGATAAATATGCGTATTAAGAGACAGTTGTTGCCTCAGCACATGTAACTTAACAGAAATTAAGTACTTTTTTTCTTCATTTTGGAGGCACAGGTAGCATCTAATGTCAATGAGGACATTTTCAGCAGATTTCAGAATCAGTCCCAGGTCCCCAGAACTCCAGTTCTCAGTTTGACATTGAGTGGTGCTCAAGAACAAGGATGCTGCACTACAGATAGTGGCATAATTATCATTTAAGAAGTGCTTCCATTAATAGAAACCTCTCCTCCATCCTGATCTACGAGACGGGTTGAAAATCTGTTGTCACTGATGTGTGTGCTTTGATCTACAGAAGACTTTTTCTAGTAGAGCTCAAATACGTCTAATAAAAACGTATCACATAACACGCACGTGAACGTGCGTATAGAAACTTTTTTTTAAGTTTTAAATCATTCTGTATGTGTTGCTATGTAGCTCTACTGCACGCCATTCATATCTTTAAGTCAGAAGAGTTCTATAGGAAAGGCTTACGTACGCATCGATTCAGATACTCACTTTGCACGAACAGTCTTAGGAAATCACTATAGTGATCAGGGAACTGATACTGCAGAAGGTTAGTCCAGTGCTTACAGAAGATATTAAATGGCATCAAAATATCTTCTTCAGGTTCAAGGCCACATGCATTGAGAGCCAAGTGAATAGACTCCAGAAGCTTGGTACGTTCAGATAGAGGTGGCTTAGCAACATTTAGCCATTGTACAAGGTCAAACTAGAACAGAGGACAGGAAGCATTTGTAAGTAGAAGCTTTAACAGCCACAACACCTTTAGGAGAAGGGAGAAATTGTCAGGGGAAAAGAAATCCAGAAGTTTTTATATGTATAAAAAGAAAAAAAATAATTTGCACTTCATTAGCCCCAGCTCAAACCAAGGTAACTCTCTCTGAAGGTTACACAGAATCTCAGAATGTCAGGGATTGGAAGGGACCTCAAAGGACCATCTAGTCCAGTCCCCCTGCCAGAGCAGGACCACCTAGATCAGATCACACAAGAACACATCCAGGCAGGTTTTGAATATCTCCAGAGAAGACTCCACAACCTCTCTGGGCAGCCTGTTCCAGTGTTCTGTTTCCCTTACTGGGAAGAAGTTCTTCCTCATGTTTAAGTGGAACCTCCTATGTTCCAGCTTATATCTATTTCTCCATGTACTGTCATTGGATGCCACTGAGAAGAGCCTGGCTCCATCCTCATGACAGTCACCCTTTACATATTTATGAACATTAATGATCCAGCATACTGCAGAAGTCTCTGAATTTATGAAGCAGCCTTTACCAGGTGTTCTCAGATTCATAAGAATGTGTATGAACTTCCACGCTTTGCCACCGCTGCCAAACACACACTTGCAAGCACTAGACGGGCTAATCTCTGTAGCCCATAAATTTTCAAGTGGAGAAGCAAAGCTTCTGTAGCATCTAGGCCATCTGTTCAGACCTCGGTCAGCAAGGACAATGCTGACCACTGCCACTAAGCACAGATCAGTGTCATGCCCAAAACAGACTGCCTGTTATTCACTGCCTGTTCCTCTGTTGAACCCTGTCTCTGTGTAACTAATTAAGAGAATAAAAGTGATGTCAAAGCCTAATTTCTCCACTGACAATACAGGTAGGTAGTATCACGCAGCCCCGAAAAAACAGATGTGCCAGTCACTTGCTCATCCCTAACTCTGTAGGTTTTAAGAGACAGGAAGGACATAGGTGCCAAACAGAGATGGAAGATCCAGACCCTGTTCCAAATTTTTATTTGTTTTTATTTTTTAAGATACCTGAGATTCACTGGCTGTTTTGGTGAATGTCTCTGCAGAGGTATCAGGCAGAAGAAGACATCGAGAGCCTACTTTCATTTCAAGAGTAAAAGTGTACTGAAGAGTAAGCTCTAGGAAGCACATACTGATACTGTCTGGTCTAGGAAAGGGTAGTTTAAGCTGACTAGTTGCTTTTGCCTCCAGACCCTCTTGAGCTTAAATACAACAAACACCATTCAGGATGAGCAACATAGATCTACAGAACCTGTCAATGCTATTTCAAAGTATGAAATTTCCATCTTTTTCTTCTTTAGCCTAAAGTCAGAGTCTTTAATAAAAGAACACCCATACAAGCAACCCACAAAGCAGATACAATATTCTCAAGTGCTTTACCTTTGTCAGCAACATGAAGACAACATCACTGTTATCCTCACTCAGAAAGGCCACGACTTCTTTATATAAAGTCACAAACTCATTGGGAGAGGCAACAGGAGTGAAGTAAGGAGAAAGTAGAGTACAGAGCCTTCGATTCTGCAGGATTGTCTGGAGGAGACGTTTGCACTCTGACTTGGTCCCACTGATGAACACCTGAGGAAATCAGGAATGGAGAGAGAAAAGGCCTAGTATGAATCATAGAATGGCACAGGCCATTAAAAAACTATTAGAGCTTTTTGTCAAGACAAGCACAATTTTTGTTCTTTTTAAAAAAATTTTCTCAAAAATGACAGACTGTATGAGATCGACTTCAAATAAATACTGCTGTTCCACTAAATACAATGTAAAATAAATGTTTCCCTAGCACACTTAACAGCACTCGTGACCACACACGCTGTATAAAAATACCTAGAAGTCCAATTCTTCAGGTGGTTTAAGAGAAGAAAAAGAATCCAGATTTCAGCAGCTCTGCTTGACATTAGGAAAGGTTTAAAACAGATCTGTGGCCATGGAGAGCTCTTGGGCACCTCAGCTGTTAGAGGTGCTTAAGGACAGCCACACATGGGAACAAACTGCATTTAAGAGAAGATAAATGCCTGGGTCCAAAGCAGAGGCTAATGCATTTTCTTAGAACATCCACGTAACGTGCTCCCCATGGGAAATATTACCAAAAACAACAAGCACTTATGTGCTCTACCAGCAAACTTATGGCTAGCTCTGTACACAAAGAATATTTCTTGCAAGGCTGTAGAAGAGAGGTGTTTAAACAGAGGTTGACAAGATGTACATCAGCTAGAAAATGATCAGTAACAGCGAAATATATGCCAAAACACTTTCATGCACTGGAAGTACCCAAACTTTAGTCACCTGCCCAAAAATCCAGCCTCATTTAACTAAGACAATGAGCATTTATTTATTAGCACTAAGTAGGCATCTCAGAGCAACAGTTTTTATTCTGCTTACATGCAAGCTTAAACTCTCCTAAAGACTGTGTATATCACACAATTAGTTGAAAGGAAAATGGGATAGAGGCTCAGAAGTTCACTTCTGAAAGTTTTAGATCCCCAACACCAGGAGGTAATTGGAGTAAGCGTCAGGTACTCAAAAAATCAAGAGAAAAAACTCACCTGGCCTAGGATCTCGATGCAGGATGTGAAGAACTGCCGTGTGGGAGGATTGCGTTGAGTTTCATCACACACGTAGTCCACTAACGTAAAAAACAAACTAATTCCAACTTTCTTAATCGCAGGCATAGGCTGCACCTTGTAGATATTTATTAAGGCTCTGAAAAAAAAAAGGACAGATTAAGTTTACGTATGGAAAATAATCTGTGACAAAGGAGAAAAAGGCTATATATTTTGCAAGAAACCCGAGATGGGTATTTCTGGCTTACACAATAATCAAGCATGGTTTCACAGAGTCACAGCACAGTTGAGGTCAGGAGGGACTGCTGGAGGACATGTGGACCAACCCCACTACTCAAGCAGGGCCACCTACAGCTAGTTGCCCAGGATGGTGTCCAGACAGCTTCTGAGTAGGTCCAAGGATGGAGACTCCAAAAACTCTCTGGACAGCCTGTGTCCCCCTCACAGTAAAAAAGTGTTTCCTGATGTTCAGAGGCAACCCTCCTGTATCTCAGTTTGTGCCCACTGCCATGTCCTGTCACTGGGCATCTCTGAAAAGAGCCCCATCTTCTTTGCACCCTCCTTTCATGTATTTCTCCATATTGTTGAGAAACTCCTAAGCCTTCTCATATCCAGGCTGAACAGTCCCACGTTTACCTCAAGTAATTTTGCTGCCTGAAATGGGTACCTCCAAACCTTAGAAAGTCTCCATAATGTGAGCACATTGTGTAGGAAACCAACTACACTAAAGAAATCCCAGCAGAAGTCTAGAAGATTGAGAGGAATGGTGTTGCAAAGCTGGACCTCTGGGATGAGCTCTAAAAGGCCTTTAAAAAAGGAAGAGGGCCTTGTACTAATCCATTTATTCACTGCCCCCCAAAAAAGTGGTATTATATAAGTCCTGTTATAGTCCTGTTCCATTCATGATTTTGTTTCACTTAGTGAAAAGTTACTTCAACTCACAATTCTCAATTAAAGTATTATGTCCTGCACTATTAGAGGGGAAAAACCTAGGGAGAAATTAAAATACATAGTTTAGCCTACAGCTGAAATAGCTGTGGTACAAGTTTGCCATTTTCTAAAGTTTAACATAGCACCCCTGTCATCACTCAGCATGCTTCTGCAGGATTAGTAGGGCTATTCTGATACACAGTACAGTAAATTGAAGTAGAAAACAATACTGTGTGCCCTGTGGAGGCTGAATGACCAGCAGTTAGCTCTTCTGATTAACAGAGTTCTTCCTTTAGAGGTCGGTGTCACAAACATACAGCGCCCAGGATTCCAGCTCTGTCGTCCAGCTCCTTTGCTGATCAGCATTACAAAGACCACACAGAGAGATCCCACATTTTAACTCCAATATACAGAAAAAGAAATATAAAACATCACTACCTAAAGCAACGTCTGAACAACCTACGTTATAAAATTTTCCACATGTACTGCTGCTTCCACAACACCCAGAGAAGGTGGCTTCGTAGCTTCTGCCTGCAGTTGTCTCACTTCTTTACGCAAAGCATGAAGCTGCTGGCTCACTGCTTCATTTTTATGTTTCCCTTCAAACTAAACAACAAAAAGACACATACTCATTTCAGAATAATATCTTTCGCTAAAATTCTTCAACGTTGCACATATTTGTAAAAATGAAGCAGAACCCAGTAACAGAACTCTGTATATAGATGGGTCTCCCCTGAGAGTTTTGATCAGATTTAATACACCATGCCCAAGCACACGTCCTTCATCACGTTCCTATTTAATTATCACACACTAATATAATTCATGTCATTTATGTAAGACTTGTAATCCACAGGGATTGAAACTTAGAGGAGATCAAGAAATTCATGTACCAAGCAACGTGAGAATATTTCTTCAAACATTTTCATGCTTCTATTCCTATCAGTGACCACATTCCCACACTGGGAAGCAGTTTAGAAGGGACACTATGAGCAAAGCAAATTTTATGCAACGACTTATTCTTCAGCTGTTGATCTGCATCTCATCTTAAGCATTACACTGTCAGGTACTTCAGGTAACTTACGGATGGATGGATTTATTTGGTCAACTGCCATCACTCTCGTAACCATTCAGTCATTCCACTTTCATTATCCAACAACCCCAAACCACAAGTGATGCCACATTATCTAACCTGGATGGTTAGAAGAGCTGCTCCCTGACAGCCTTTATTTGAGGTTCCCCGGCACTCCAAATGGAGGGTGATCTGCTCTTCCCGATTGACGTACAGCTTCGGTACTGTGTCCAATATTTCACTATTAAGAGCAACATGCTGAGATTCCCAGAGAGCTGCAGTTCTGAAAAGCATTAATAAAGTTACCAAAATCTTTACTGAAAACGGTAATGTTAAGAATTTCTAAGCAAGAGATGAGACTTCAATTTAACGTGCTGTACAAAGACTCATGATACTTTCCTAGAAAACATAAAAGGTTATTAAATGAAATTGAATTAAAACTTCAAAGTAACAGCACTTCAAAGTAATAAAGAAATAGGTTCTTAGGAACAAAACTACTCAAGTCTGCATAAGTTTTTCAGTTATTCCACATGACAACCTGGAAGGAAATTAAATAGATCACTTTCTGTAGGAAATGCAATTTTCCACCAGATAAAAAAAGCTGGACTGTGGGATTATTCAATCAACAAAAAAAAGCTCACCTAAAATTGCTGCTCTAATTGTTTAGGCATATTCTCTCTTGGGCTTAGCAAGTTTTGTTTTGGTTTATAATACTGTTATTATATGACTACATTGTGTGAGAACAGCTATAGATTCATCAGATGTGTTTGAAAATAATTCAGCTGGATTCTCTAAGTAGGAATATTAAAAACAGAAAGTCTTTCAATCACAAGGCCAACAGCCCCAGAAACCAGATTTTTCTCTTGGGGGATACAGTGCTTCACGCTATAGCTACTTACTACATTAGTGCAAAGCTAACTTACTGTCAACAAATCCAGCCTAAAGGGAGGCTTTACTTTAAGAAGTATGCCAAATGAGAGAAGAAACTGTAGAAGTTCGATGTCAGGTGATGTAATCTCAGTCATTAGATAAGACTTGGGTAGTCTTACCTCAGTTAAAGGAGTGGAATAACAACATGATAGCCAAGGAAAAAAAACCCCACAACCACCAAACAAACTTTTACAAGAAGTAAAAGAGTCAAGTACTGACAGTCTTCTGACAACACCACAAATGAGGCTGGCACCTGAAGACAATGCTAGACATGCTAGCGAGGCAGAAGGAAAATAGCTATGTCTTACTTGGCATGTCGCTGCAAGATGTTAAGGTCCATGCACATGAGCTGAATTGCTTCTTTCTCACTTACTAGACTGGCAGAGGAAATAACTGGCACAGGAGCTTTCATCATCTGGAGCGGAAGAAGGGGCTTGGGAACATCAAACTTCTTCAAATTATTCATTATTCTCTCTTTGGCTGGACAAGAAAGGAGAAGCAAGTTTTGTCAATACAAAAAGTTTAGAAGAAACTGAACAAAAACTCACTCGACCTGGCAATGCGCGCTTGCAGCCCAGAAAGCAAACCGCATCCTGGGCTGCGTCCAAAGAAGTGTAGAGAGAGGGATTCTGCCCCTCTACTCTGCTCTCATGAGACCCCACCAGCAGTACTACATTCAGTTCTGGGGCCTCAAACATAAAGAGGACATGGACCTGCTGGAGCACCTCTGCTACAAAGACAGGCTGAGAGAGTTGGGGCTGTTCAGCCTGGAGAAGAGAAGGCTCTGGGGTGATCTTATAGCAGCTTTCCAGTACTTAAGGGGGGCCTACAGGAAAGCTGGAGAGGGACTTTTGACAAGGGCATGTAGTGATAGGACAAGGGGCAATGGCTTTAAACTGAAAGAGGGGAGATTTCCATTAGAGATAAGGAAGAAATTCTTCACTGGGAGAGTGAAGAGGCACTGGAACAGGTTTCCCAGAGAAGTTGTGGATGCCCCATCCCTGGAAGTGTTCAAGGCCAGGTTGGATGAGGCTTTGAGCAACCTGGTGTAGTGGAGGGTGTCGCCACCCACAGCAGGGGGGTTGGAACTAGATAATCTTTGAGGTCCCTTTCAACCCAAAACATTCTATAAATTTTTTTTTGCCTGAAACATTTTTAGCAGCAGACATATTCCTCAGGATTCCTCCATTTTTAAAAAAGTCACTCAACTAGTCTTATTTTTGTTGACGAACTTTATTTCGCACAGCTAATTTTCATGGCCAGCTCCACCACACAAGATTAAGATCCAAGTGCCCATTGTTTCTTCCAGCCAATCCTACCTTCTGTCCTTCCAATTTTACTCTTATCACCTCATTTATTCTCCTCATCTGACAGAGGCTCCCAGATCCAGACTGCTAAGCCAAATTCATCTTCCTTTCCCTGCAATTCATCCTCATCTCTAGTCTTGTCAGCTCCAATTTCTCCCCAAATCACAACCTCTCTCCAGGTGAGTTCTCTCCTCCTACTGATTGCCATTCAGTTCCTTTGCCCAAACAGTGCCAATTCACCTATTCCAAACTATTCCAGTTTCCCTCTCTCCCCTTTTTTAATAAGCACCAAAAAAATTCAGTCTTATCATATCCTTAATATATCTACCACAACTATTATCCCCTTCTGTGCTAGAACAACCCTTTCACCATGCCAAAATTCCAGGGAAACTGCAAGGTAAGGCATTGGGAACAACAATGACAAATAAACAAAAAACCCACCAATGCGAAAACCCACATCACACACCAGAGACAATCTTTCTGTTTTCTGGTGGTTTCTGGTTTCAAAAACAGTGGTTTCTGGTTTTGCTTGCAGCTGTCTCTAACTAAACTTGGGGAAAACTCAGCCTGTCTAGAGTATGCTCTGTGTGGAAGAATCTTTGGGTAGTTCACCCATGAAGCTCCAGGCACAACATCACCTGCTGTTCTGTGATGTAGCAAACTTTAAACCCAAAACATCGATGTTAGCCTCTCACATGGGCATCTTAATCTTAGTGAGAACAGCCTGAAAATTTCATGAAAGACACTGTACCCATAAAAACCAAACTGTATTAACACCTTTATTCATAGACATCCATATGTTCCTAAAGAAACCAGAGCTTCAACATGCCAATAATTCTTTCTGGCCAGGAATATTAACAATATTCTTATCTCTCACCTGATAAAGGGTTAGTGAAATCTGTGTGCCCTGCAGAAATACCAGTTGTAGGTGATTCAAGCTGAACCTGTAGCCAAAGGTTTAGAGCTTCCTGAAACTCATGGTGTATGAGCTCAACGTTGACATACTCCATCCACAAATCCTAAAGCACAAAAGAATTGAATTATCATTCCCGTTTTAGACAGCACCATATGCTGCATCCATCCCAGTAGCTAGAGAACTAAAATAAGTATGCAAAACCAGACCTTGCAGTTTTTAAGTCATAGGAAAATGTTACCAGGAAAAAAATCTAAACTGAAGAAAAAAGCTGCAGAATTTTTATCGCAAACAAATAAGCCACTGAAAAGCGTTTGTGACAGTTAGAGAAGAAATCTGACAAAACACACATGGTATAACTTCTAATAACTTAGTTTTAATAATCTGTACCATTTCTCTCTAAGTTCCTAAAAAAAGGGAACACAGTAAACCAAAATAGTCTAAAACATCATGGCATAATTAACTGTAACCAGACTAAAGTAGGCTGCACTTCTAGGAGTCCCATATCCTGGAAGAATAGAAACAAAGCAGGTAGGATGAAACGCCCTTTCAAAATCTCACTCTCGCAGGCCTCTAACTATAACAACTCGTTAGGCTTCCTGGACAGAATAACACAATTCCCACTAACTGACTCATATTTGAACCCAAGATATTACAGACAGTATCAACACGAGCAGACTTGGGCTCTCAGTCTTCTGTCATTTAAAGATCCAACTTAGATAAACTCTCTAGAATTACCTTAGAACATAAAAAGAATTACAGAACAGTATAGAATAAGGACTGTGTTTTCATTAAGAGATGCAAGAAATCTACTCATGAATCCTTGCCCGAATATAAAGGAAGACTGGGACAGCACATGATTTTTAGGGGAAAAAAAATAAGAGCTGTAAAGTATCACACATGCGTTACACAAAGATCAGTGACACCAAGTCTCTCACTAGTCTGGAGGACCCACTTCAATAAGTGAGTGAATTTTGGATCCCAGGTTGCCAATGTCATTAGCACTTTACCTGTTGATTCTGCATGACTTTAGCAAGCCTATGTGCATCATATTGCTTCGGTAAAGAAGGAACATATGTGTCTCCTTTCTGGAAACTCTCTTCTTCCAACCACAAAATGAAAACATTACAAAGCCTGAGAAGAAAAACAGAAAAAGGAAAAAATAAATCAATGTGAATTTTAACTGCATGCATGGCATGTATTCCACAGCAGTCTCATTCTGAAGTTCGAAGTTAAGACAATAAAACATGCTACAAGGTGACATGTCTCAAAACGTAGACGTTTCGGATGGTTTGTGACTCACTAAGTGTCAGTTCAAAGAACAGCAGTAGAAGGAAGCTATTTAGAAAAGCATGAAGGGCAATAACCAAGAGTAACAGGACAAATTTTGAAAAGGAAAACAGTTACATGAATTAGCAAACACGACCCAGGACTGTGTCTCTTACATCAGGGAACCACATTCACAACTCCATTCAAAAGACCAATGAAGAAAAAAAGAGTATGTCTGAGCAAGTCTGACTTCTCACCCCATAACTCCTCTAGAGCACCTGCTCTAAAAGTTCACACCTCAGCTACATCTCCTAATTCCTTGTCAGACTCAAATACATGGCTAGTTTATTCCCGTTTCCTCCTCCGCTAGTGTTGTACTTAAACATACTTCCTTCTTCAACTGACATCGCTCCCCCGAGGGGTAGGTACCCATTTTATACTCATACTATCCAAGCTTTCCTGATTAAATACAAGGGAGAACTAGCATACCATTAAGTCTTTGCACTGTGGAATTAAATAGCAGTAGGAAACCCCTCTTTTCTGTATCAGTGTCACTGGTGAAAAAAACGGAAGCAGTCTAGTTCCAAGAGTCAGCCCTTATGCACTCTACCAATATTTTCCCTCCTATCTAAGTGGCCATTAAACTTCCCAGGTGTAAGATTTATTTGGCTGCAGAACAGTCTGGCTTTACAGAACAGTTGAAGTAGGGAACTCCTCTGAAATGAAAGACAAAATATGAATCAAGCGACACACAGTGAGCATCTCCGGATTGTTTTTCACAAACGACCAAGGAGGATTTATGATCTCCCTTGTTCGCTCATGCAGCAGCTACTGATTGCTGAGGGGGAAGCACTTAAAATAAGCTCAGATACTGTATGCCCAAAAAACCACCCCCTGAACAAGGGACTCTTTCCAAATAATCCTTTCAACTAGTTTCTGAGGATATTCAGATATTGTAATTCTGCAAATATTTTTTAAGGTATACTTTTCAGAACAAGTCTGTTTAACAGAACCATAGACTTCTAAACAGCACAGCTACAATTTCCATGCACATGAGATATGTAGCTCTTGGAAGATACTACCCCTTACAAAAGTGAGCATTCACCACCCGTGTCTCCCACCGCTAAGACCATGCTCTAGTAGTTCCATCGAATAAGACTGAACTGGGCAGGTTTTGGTTTTTTTTTTTTCACCTGACAAGCTCCTTATGCAGTTCTGGTGAAGTCAGGTAATCTGGTGAGCAGCTCGCCTTCTCTGGTGATCTGTCACTGCCCTCTGCAGGACTCTCCACTCTTAGGGCTTTGCTGGCAGCGTGGTGGAAATCTGCTACCTCCACTAAGCGCTGCTTCATTTCATTCAGTAAGTTAATATGAGCTGCACTCTGGAAAAAACGCCTTCCAATACAGCCATCTACAGGTAACCTAAAAATGAACAAGAAAAAGCACAACAAAGTCTTGTTGCAAGTGTCAAATCACCATCTCTGCAAATAAACTGACTTTTCAGAAAAGATGCCAGCACCCACTGCTTTTGGATGCAGCCTTAGTGTGAGGCACTTATTAACCCCACTTGCAGTGCAAAGTATACAGTGTTTGCTGTTCTGCTAGAGCTCTTACCACCAGACTCACCCATATTGTGGTCCTGGTCGGTGAAGGTAAAGGAGGAAGAATTTCTGCCAGATTAGTGGCATGAGAGGGTGATCAGCAGGGGTAGCAAGGGCCTGGTGAGCCCAGCGGTAAATCATGAGCCTCTGAAGGGAAGGTACGATGGGCAGCTTCAGCTGAGTCTGTGCTTTCTGCAAAAGGAACGTTTTCATTCAAGTGTTCTGCTGTGGTTCCCTGTATCAGGCTGTCACAGCTTAAGCCAACAGATTAACACAGCCTGAAAACTCAATAATGATGGAGGAGAGAACTTTGGAAACATTCGCACATCCGTTACAGGTCTTAGTGGAAAAACTGCCCAGCTCACAGTTGTGCTGGACAGCTGTTAAAAAGCACTGCTACATCTCTGATGCTTAAAAAAAGGTAGCATGGACAGATGGGCTACTGTGATGCAAGGCCAACCGATGGGCCGCTGGTGTTAATTACAATGAATTACTGTTTTTCATCAGAGGTAGATGCTGCTGGTTTAGGCTTCCACACAACCAGTGGTGTTAGAGAACAAAGCAGCAGCAGTGAAGGGTGCAGCATGTTCCAATCAGTAAAAATAAGACTTAAGCCACATGAGGATGCAGAATCCTAGAGCACGCTACCACTTTTAGCTTTTTCCAGACTACATTCCATACAGCCCTACTGGAAATCTAACATGTTCCATTAACCATTCTATGATTCTATGTTAAGTAAAACTAACGTGAAGAAAGAATACAGAAGGAAATTTTTTTTTTTTCTTTTTCTAAAAGCTAAACAAAGTGTGAAGAAAGAATACAGAAGGAAATATTTTTTTTTCTTTTTCTAAAAGCTAAACAAAGGCAATGCAACATATAAGCAGCAGCACTCCTTGTTAGCAACACAGAACACTGCTTCACAGACCCACTAGATCATCAAGAAGTCACACACCAAGCTCTCACAGACCGTGCCTGAGGCATGGGAACAGGAGGCTCTTCCAAGTTCCCAAGCTTCAACACAGACCCTGGCACTACCTCATCCCCCACACTAGACCTTAGGAACCGTCAGCACCCTTTTCCATACATTTCCCACGTTCTATCTCACTGTTTTCCAGGTAAATAGAGACATGCAAGCCAATGGACAAACGCTCTCCGGTCTAGTCTCCGAGGATGCAAGACATGGTCCAGTCTGGAGACAGTCACACCTATGCTTCATAGAACATAGAGAAAATAACCTGTTTTCATAGGGCTCTAGACTATGCTGCTCATTAAAACACACTGAAACAGTTGAGATGAAGCATGTGCCAATGGCTACACTTTGGACAGCTTTGGTTTCCACTTACTTCATTTCAGAATTCCTAACTGAATTTAGGCAAAGAACCTGGAAAATGCTGCAACATGTCTTAAAGTACACCTGACTAAGTGTTTTCTTAAGGGAAATACCTAAAGAGTTCTTAAAGGGCTGGAAAATAATTCATCAAATGGAGAAGCAAATACAGAGAAAATAGTAAAGTCCAGACTTCTGAAAATTCAGATCATCTGAGAAATGCTCTTTGAAATACAAAGAAACATTTTCCCACCTGTAAAATAAGAGCATCTGCACTCCCCATTCTCAGTGGCACAGAAAAAAATCCACTGAAGATTGTAAGGCATTCAGATGACCCAGAAAATCAGGTAAGAGCACTAATTACTGAAAGAAGTTTTCTGTAAACAATGGTATCTTTAAATAAAATCAGATATTTGCATGGTAGTTTTTAAGTGATAAACTCGAAACGTAAAGAAAAATTTCCCTGAGGTATACGTTCTCCTGGAAAGCCAGACAAAGCATTAGCTATGCTTTTGTCCTGGTAAGAAAAAACACATAAAATAAAAACTAAACAATGCAAGAGACCACGTTTTCTCCAGGAGTTCTCTCTAATAAACGTGGATGAACAGTTCTCTCACCTTCAAAGCTTGATCAGGAGTTAAGGCATTAATAACCAACTCCCCTTCCACAAGTCTGCGAAGCTGTGAGTCTTCTTCAAATATTGACTCCATATTTAACACCATCCATGAAAACCATACCTGTAAGAGTAATAACAGAAACATTGATAACAAAATGGCAGGGGTAGGATCAGGAAGCTTGCTGTTTTCTGGAAGAGGAATATGTCTTTGCCAGATTCCCATTACAAAGTTGCAAAAGCAATATCTCAACAAGAAAACTGAAAACCAGCTTCCTCCATCTACATTCAAGCCTCCCCTTTGTATTCTGTACAACCTTGGCAAAGAAGGGGAAACTAGGGACTACTGACAGAGTTATCCAGAGAGTTCTAGAAGAACTCAAACCCTGTAAAGTAAGATCTTCTCTCTGACACTTGCACTACTCATCTCCGGTTGGGGTACTGCAGGTTTTCTTTCTTTTTACTCCAATGAGGAACTTGCTTAAGCAGAGAGAAAGCAACTAGTATTCAAAATACTTATCAGAAGACGACTGATCTAACAGAAGAGTCAGGCTTTATGTATTTTCTCTCATTAAATATATCAAGAACAATTGAAGATTAAAAGAAATCTTAACTAATAAATCCTATTAGAGGAATTCTTGGTCACAGATCAGATAAATTTTCTCTGCGCAAAGAAAATCCATGTTCCCTTTAGTATAATAAACCCACAACATTCTCTTAGGCTAAATTAGGATTTTAGCACAAGAAAACCCATAGATATAGGGATAAGAAGAAAGAGAAAACAAGAGAAAAACATGCAAACAAATCTGTAAAAACACCACCAGAAACTAAACACCTGCACATTGCTTATCCCAGGGTTGTTCATACAACACTACCATACCACTTACCTGAGAAGAATTGGCATTGCCCTCAACAAAGGAAGGTGTCACATTGCCTGCCACAATCCAGCTGACAAGCGAAGACAGCAGACCTTTGTCACAATGATAGCCCAAAGCATTCTACACAGAAACAGAAAACATTTGGGTTTTTTCGTAAGCAGTCTAACAGATGATTTACAAACTACAGGTACATCACTCTACCTTCACCCAGGCTCCTTTCTGCCTCATGTTGCTACTTCCCAATCTTAGCTCAGCCAGCCACCACTGAAACGCCTGCTTGCACTTTGTCTTCTTTGATTAAAAGATTCTGGTCTATAACAACCATCTCCATTTTCTCAGGAGAAGACGCTCTATTTTTGTTCTTAATACACTATTTCAACATATGAAATGCAAAGACTACAAACTAAAATACTACGATAAAATTCAAATGAATGAAACCTGTGTTCCAAATAGGTTTTTATTGTTATTAAAATATCAGACATTTCACTAATCTTGAACTATTCAGAAACAAATCGGATAACCCAATTATCATTCACCATCATGACTGTTCTTGTTGCATCTCAGGAAGATACAATTGCATCAGAATCAGAATGAGCAACACACAAACCAACCATTTATTCCATAGCTACCCCAATACACCACACATCCATTTACCTTGTGTTGTTGGTAAAGCAGCTTTTGCACACAGTCTTCTTGACTGTACTGAAAAGCAGCTTTACATAAATCATCCAGCAAGAAGAGTGTTGCCCGGTCCCTGTGCCACAGCTGCTGGCTGGTGAGGACCTGAACCCAAAACTCCAGTACTGCAGCCGGCCCCACTCCATTTGGCTGGTCACTTAGAAATATGTGAGTCTGCCACATTAAAGGGCATAATTATTCAAGAGATTGAAGCTTCAATTAAAGGATAAGAAATTACAGAAGAACTGTTTAACTTGCATAAGGCTGTGGGCCTATCTTTAAAGTAAATAATTTATGATGCAGCTCTCTACACCTATGTAAAAACAGCTTTGTCATCTCCAACCTCCAAAAGAGATTCTGCAGCCTGGACAGCTGAGCACCTTGTGCAACCAGCAAAAACAGATGGAAAAGCCATGAGCAGGACTCCTGTGACCCGCAGGCATAAATGGCACCTGTTTCTGAAGTGTAGCCTGCTGTTCCTGCAAAAGGACTCCAGTCCTTACCCCTCTCTAACATTAGCAGACCCTGGATCTCGACCTCTCTGCACTTAGAAAAAATACCACAGTTCCCTAACAGAGGAATGTTTTCATACCACAGCCATAAACTAATGGTCAAAAGCAAAGCTTCCAAACTGCATTCCTGAACTAACACAAGCAAGAAAGTAGCGCTGCATATTACATTCCCTTTTTAGGCAGTCTTGACTTGGTATTACAAAATGCATTTTCTAAGAAGTCTGGAAGGCACATATTGTTGTCATGGCCAGGGTCACATGTACGGACAGATTTAGGCAAGTTTAAGCAGAAGTATTTCAGGAAACCAAACCCAACTATTCATGCTTGATGCAGGGTACTCCGTGGCTGCAGAACTCCTAGATTCAGTATTATTTCTAACCTTAAGCACTAACTCAGTCAAAAAAGCCTACCTGTTTTTAAAAAACTTCCCCTCACTCTTTATTAAAAAAAAGTCTTACCTGGATCATACTACTGAGCAGCTTCACATTTTCTCCATAGCTGACTCCTGTCAAGTGCTGTGTTACTTTATGGGTAACCTGCTGGGTCACACCTTGAGGGACTCCACTATCCAGGTGAAGGAACAGTTGGACGTACGATAAAAATCTAGTAATGTCAACAAATTAAATTAGTTCCAAAATTTCTCCTTAAGTGTAATATACAGAAAAGCTACTTCTAGAAAATTTAAAACCAGCTCAACAGTACCGGTGACACCCATAAAGAAGGATTTTGATTCACAACCATGCTGCAGGGTTAATTGTTCCATTTTTACCATATCATAGGTACAGTAAGAGCAGTTCATGGCAGACTGTAATTCCAGGCAGCTGACCAGGACTAAACACTTAGAATCACAGAACAGTTTGGGTTGGAAGGGACCTCAAAGATCATCTAGTTCCAACCCCCCTGCCATGGTGGGGTTGATCCCACCCAGGACCCTAGTCCAGGAATTGTCTGGGAGACTGCCAGGAGGTCCAAGACAAAAGCACCCCAGGGACCACAGTCTAATTTACCAGGACATACAGCTGAGGTTCAGCACTCAAGTACACTACCAGCTGCTCAACTTACTAGTAAGAGACAGTATTGCCTGCTTATTTGTCTCATTTGTCTAAACACAACATCTACTTGTCAATACTGCTGGTTGGAGACCACTTCCGTAGCACAGCAGCAGCATCAGTGACAATTGTACATGTGAGGTCAGTAGGAGACACTTCCACAACTACTTCCTCAACCACAGTCAGAGTCAAAAAAGTTCATCATCAAATAAACCCGATGTACTTCCCCATCACCTGCATCACGTTCTCACTGGATGCAAAACCCAGAATGAAGTCTGATAAATTTAATAGCTAAGATTAACTTTCGTTGTTCTTGATCAATAAACATATTAAGAACATATAATGCTTACTGTTCATTCTTCAGGAGATAATACTGGCAAGAGTAAAATAAGGGCAAAATTTTATCCAGCACATGGGCTACTGTTCTCAGATACCTAGACTGGACAAGCACACCCAGAAGAGGGATCCCTTCAGCACAGAACTTCTCAATGCTGTCAAAACAAAAACAAAATAAGGAAAAACACATTGACCATCAGTAGAAAGAGATAGGGTGTTGATTTTTTTTTGTTAACTAAGACAAAGATATCCATATCTTTACACTTAATCTTTGAAATCCTAAACAGCTAAATCCACATTTTTTTCTTCAGCTGTAGGAGTCATTTGATTGCTGACAGATTTGATAAGTTTTTCCTGTCTTCCAAAAGTCACTGGAGATATGGGTCTTACCCATCAAGTTTCAATCAATCTAAAAGCTCAAGGTTCTTACCTAACCTAGGCAACCAGCCTTCCTCTCCAGGCAAAGGGAGAATCTACAGAGGAAACTTCATATTCTCCACCTTTGACATCTCCTCAGGATGGATGATGCTCTGGACATCTTTACTACCTATTGATGGAGTTTGCAGGGTTTCCTAACAGTAGGTACTTAGACAGCTGCAGTCAGAGGAGAAATTCTACTCTTACTATCCAGAAAACTCACTAGTGCCAACTTATTTGATACATCAATCTGCATCAAGTTTTGCTAACTGAGAAGTGTTGCACATTAGGAAAAAGATGTAAAACATTAATCTCACGTCTTATCTGAGGTAATGAAAATGAAATGCTGTATTAAGTCACCAGCATACAGTACAGCACTTTGTTTCTTCTGCTTATTACCACAACTGGCCTTGAACTTTCCATGTGATAAATATCAGCATTATTACCATTATTGTTTAGACAGCAAAAGGAAGTCAAATGGTTACTCAAAAGGTCTAACAGTGTTTGGAACACAGTCAGGACTAGGAGGTGCAGTATCAAGGTTGTAAAACTCCCTGTTTATTATTACCAACAAAGGTGTTTTTTTCTCCTCACTATTTTCGGAATACTCTGCTGCACAGCCCTGCTAAAAAAGTTACCTGTAGAACAACCCTTTCAGTAAATGTGCTTAAAAGTTACTCCTGTCCACAGCAGTATTGAAACTGAGGGGTTAGCATGACTATTTCTCATGATTATTTTGACCCTAACATGCAGAAGGCAAAAAAAATAGTCGCTAGCACAATAAAGGAAACAACACATTGTTTGAAACTCCAGTCCCTGAAAGGCTGCTCAATCCCTTGCATCAGAAGCCCTTTATTCTTTAAACATGCATAAAGATGTTAACAGCCCTCAGTTCATCGTTAGGTTGGCTGCTCAGTCACTGGGGCCATCCATCCAAGGCAAACACAAGAAAGCAGGCTTACCTGTGACCTAGCGTGGTCATCGCCAGTGCCAAGTAGCAGCCGATGGGGACGTTGGCCTTCACAGCCTTCAGCAGGGGGTGAAGCGTGACCGACTCGGTCATGTCGAGCACGCTGTCAGACACGGGGACTGCAGGCCAGCCATGCTGCATGCCACGGTCGTTTCTGTGGAGCTTTAACCTCAAAATCAAACCCCACGCCCACTGGTTAAAGGAAGTCTCTGGCGTTTCTCCGTAACGAACAATGCTGGCTAAGTAGGAGACCTGGAACAAAGCAGCAGGAACAGGAATGAGGGGAAGCACAGCCAATTCTACAGCATGAACAGCACTAGTCCAGGACTTGGGTCAGCTTGGATGAATTTCTTCTTCTACCACAAAACTGTGACACAGAGCAACAGTAGTTATTTTTCAGACACACCATGTAGTGCCACCAATTAAATTTATCCAATATCTGTTTCTATAGTCTTGATTTCCACATCTCCCCTGCCCATCCCTTTTATTAAAGGCTATCAACCTACACCATTTGGCTAAAGTTTTCTAAATTAGCTATTAGTCTTAGATTCGATTTTGATTTTACTATTAAAAACAAAAGCCAAGCAACCACACACAACCTTCAATAACGTTTAAGACTGCTAGTGAAAGGAAAACTAAAAATACATCTGTAAAAAATAACATTGGTCAACAAAAACGCCTAGAACCTGGCAGCCTCTCCTTGGAAAGAAGGCTAATGTGGACAAGCAGAGTCTCTGTGCCACGTAAGTGTGTTCATTATCATGAAGAGTCTGTCTAGATTGGAGGGAATTATAAATCCTTGGGAAAGATTTTGTAGGTGCTCCAACAGATCAGCGTAAATTGCAGAGCTGGAAGTCAATGCAGATATTTCATCCTCTCTGAGTGGGGGTACAAGAACCTAAGCATTATTTTCTCTCAAGTTCCAATTACAAGCTCATGCAAGTCAGGACAGATTCACCAATACAAAGTGTCAACCAAGGCTGAAACAGGCTTAAAAAGAGAACTTATCTAGCTGGCACAAGACAACAAACTATGATTAAATAGTGCAGAGATGCAAGTCAGAAAAGAGCTGAGACAATAAGGAACATTCAAACCAAGTGAAGAAAACACTGTAGAAAAAAGCACAGGGGAGGAGACGAGGAGAAAGCACTGTACAAGAAATACTGAGAAGACAAAGCACAACACAATGCTAAAAGCTTTGAGTAAATAAATAGAAGAATCTTGCATCGAATATCCAAAAAAGGGATTTTTAACCTTGATCTTTCTATCCTTCCATTCCCCTTCTGTAACTTGGAGCCCTACCTTCCTCAGTCACTTGTGTGCTGTAAAACTCAATGTAATAAGTGTCTATTTCTCATATAGATGTTCAATGTAAGTCTAACAGTATTTCCAAATATCTCCAGGGGTGCAAAAAACCCTAAGAGTACATTACAGCATTGTGGCAGTATTAAGATAGCATAGCTTTTAAAGAAAACAAGGTCTTGGCCTGCAGTTTTTCCTGCCTATCACTCTCAGTAAGTTATTCTCTGTAATTCTGAAGAAGGCATACCTGTTTTATGCTTTCAGAAAGCAGCCCAGCATATGGTTTCTGGGAAAGATATTTCTGATATGCTTCCAGAACCATCAATGCAACCTCAGAATGGACAGCTGGATCCAGATGAAGTGCACCCTGCCAGAAACAGAAACCACATCACAAAACTTTGTCTCATTTGAAAGGTCTGTACAACTGTATCATTCAGATGCATTACAGAGAAATAAATCTTAATTTGAACAGCCAGAAAAACATTAAGTATTTTAATACCTAGGCAAAATCTTGGCCAGTAAGAAAAACTTCAGCCTAACATTGAAGAATAATGAGCTCACACTGGGCAATGTGAAGCTCAACAGCCAGAAAAAAGTTTCCAGAAAAAAGTGACCATAATCATTTCCCATGGGCATTTTGTCAATTTACAGCAACTAATCCAAAGATCCATGGATGGCACTTTAAATTACACAGTACAGACACTGGAAATCTTGCCTTTAAAAACAAAACCAAACCAAAAAACATACCATGTTTTTTTGTATCAAAACCTAGTAATTCCTCTCATCAATTGCCACATTAAAGAACTACCTTTCCCCATATCAAAGGGCACAGACACGACACTGTTATTGCACAGCAAAGACCTCACGGTTAATTCTCCCTACCATTCCTTTGTTTTCATGTGTCATCAAGAAACAGGGATGAAAAAGTAAGGTAATCTTCATGTACAAGCATCAAAGAGAAGAGCTCAGTTTTACCAAATGCACAGATTACAATGATAAAATGGATCACTGAGTGCAGGCAACAGGATTTTTTCCCCCAATCTACTCCTCTTTCTCTCTGTAAAAGCATTTACCTTTGATTGGATCCTGAACTGATGGAGGTCCTGGAGCAATCCATCCTATGGAATATTTTCCAATCATTTAAATTATGCTCAGGGCTTTGAAATCTAATCTCAACCATTAGTTTTCTTGCATTGTGAAAAACATACCTGGATACCAGCCTGCAAACTACAGCCACACCAGTCTCATACACTTCTTGAAGGATTCCTCTATTTCTGTAGCCACAGAGATCTTAATCAAGTGACTCAAAAACTGTCCTGTCAGCTGTTTCCTCTTGTTTAGAGAGAGGAAACTCCTGCTTAAATATCTCTTTTAATCTCAGCTGCAGCACTACAAGAAAGCAACACAAGCAAATCCTCAGGCAGAACGCTGCAAAATTATTGTGAAGTTCCTACCCTATGCCATCAAGTGTACAGCCATCATATAAAAGCATGTAATCAGCTGTTTTAAAACTCAGCTATATTCCTAGGTTGAGTAAAACTTTTGCTCTGAAAAACTGATCAGGTTCAGGCCTCCTGATTTTAATACGTACATGGTCACCAAATCCCCAGTTCAGCCCTTCCAAGATAATGCAGGCTAGTTTATTCTCCACTGTTGTTAGAGTGTAATTTAACAACCAGTCACGAATCAGCGCGATCTCAGACGAAGAAGGCTTCCACAGGTGCAACGGCAGTTCTTTAAACAGATATAAAGAAACCTTTGAGGACAGAAAAAAAATAAAGGCTAATCACTACTAGGTACGGAACAGTAATCAGCATTATGCCCTTCTGTCTTAAACAGTGATACGATCAAAAAAACCCCACAGATAGGTCTTCAACATAGTCCATTCATACCAAGATGTATCTTAGAACAGAGTCTGGTACATCCTCTATTTTTAACTGGTTGCCAGCTTTAAGCAATGGATGTTAGAACTTACCATCCCAACTTTCTCGATGGTGTCTCTAACTCGATCCAGCAGTACAGAAATAATCTGTGTATGGATGTTGGCAATTGCTCTCAAGAGTTCTCGACCAACTTTTGAAAATGTCTCTCTTGTGGAAAGACTGACATAAGAGACCTGAGAAGACGAGCAGAGAGAAGTTACGGGTCATGGCTGATCTTCACTGACACCGCAATAAAACATCTTTTGGAAAATACAGAACCAAATTGCTCTTGGTGAGCTGGACAAAGTTGATAAATGTCAATATTAAAACTGAAACTGATTGCCCTAGAAGATAAGGATGTTATTATGTCACAGTGATAAAAGCGAAGTCCAAGACTAAAGATCAGAACTACAGCACCACACACATCGAGAAAAAAACAAAACAAAACACAAAACCAACATACACACCACAACAAAACACCACCACACAAGGAATTTCAGAGCTACAAGCTAAATCTGCGTAAGAAAAATAAAGCAAAAGAAATCATAGAATCATAGAAAGATTAGGGCTGGAAGGGACCTTCAAAGGT